TTTTCTTTTTTTTTTTTAAGTTTATTGAAACCCAACTTTACTTATATAAGTAAACAACAAGGACTGGCTGGCTCATGAAGTAGAATTGATTTTGTAAATATAATGTGAAAATTGTTTTCTATTTTATAATTTAGATTATTCTAGATAGTAAAATATGAGATATAAGTCGAAAAAGAGCCTTTTTATATCAAGCTTCTATCTCTTATTTAATAATAAATATTATATAATCTTATATAATCTAAATTGTTTAACACTTCTTTTATGTGAAAAATAGAGATAAAAAATGAAAAATCACTACCAGCCTGCTTGAACTTGAAAGTTGAAACTGATAAAGAAACTTTAGAGATTTGAAAGATGTTTGAATCCATGCTTGCTTGAACTCACAAACATGGTCATAACTCATACAAACAGAAAAAACCTGAACAATTTGAAACGAAAACCAGAACAATTGATTTCAAATAAAGTGGAGTTGGCATTTTAATGATCCTAAATTCTGTTTAATTTACATGATTCTTAAGTGCTAAATCCCATCCAAAGTAAAACAATAACTCTAAGAACATAAAATTTAAGTAGTAAGGGGGGTATGGTCCGTAACTCCGTTCCACATCTGCTTAATACATGTTACAAGTGAAACACCATGGGTGCAAGTCTGGCATTTTATCGTAAGCAAAGATGCTCGATGGCTCCATCTTTAAGAGGTTTGGTTCTTGGAAGCAACTTGATTTCATAAAGCTTCGGCCATAGCTTTCCAGTCACTACAAAATCAAACAGGGGGTTTAGTAAGATGCGTACGGCATACAGAAAACAATCTCTCATTAGCATAGGAAAGGCTGCACACAACAAAACATAAGAAATTGATAATGTTTTTGAAGGCACATCAAATTCCGTTGGAGCTTACCAAAAATGCGCTTCTTGTCATCATCCCATGCTATGCCATTCAAAACATCAATACCCTAGAACATGGTGAAATTTTGAAATACATGGATTAGGTTAGGAAGCTAGAAATAACAAACCTTCAACAACATACTTATTTTCTCAGGGAAAAAAAAAAGGAAGGAAAAAACCAAAAACAAAACACACACACATAGAGAGAGTCACACATGAAATACACACGTTTGTGTTTGGATTTAGATGCTTACATTGTAACCAGCAGCAATTAGTCCTTCACTGTAAAAGAATAAAGAAAAATATTTAGTTCGTACGATTAAGGGCCTGTTTGGTGGAGCTTCTTGGAGCTTTTACATTTTTTAGTATTGTTTATGAGTCATAAGTTTAAATTTTTATTGGAGGGAAAATTTAAAAGTTGTTTTTAAAAATAATAAAAGTGAGTAAAAAGGGAGTTTATAAAAAGTAAAAGTTTAAAACTTTTTAAAATTCACTGTTTAAGGTCTTTTAAGGTTAAAAAAAAGTTAAAACATGTAAGTTTTTAAGAGAAAAATTTAAATGTATGAACATAAATAATGTCAAAAAGCTGAAGCACTTACAAGCTTCACCAAACATGCTCTAAGTTGGGGACATATATTAGATAAAATGAGAGGCAGAACCAGCCTAGTAGCCTAATGGTTCATAGCCCAAGCCTAAGAGCTTGGTACCCTTGAGTTGCCCAGTTCAAGTTCAACTCATACCTGCTACTTGTAATTCTACTCCTTTTTCAAGAAGAAGATAGAAAAAAGGAGAGAGAGAGAGAAAGAGAGAGAGAGAGAAGCACAACCTTAGTTTCTGAAGGAGAACCCAGCCCAGCACATAACCATCTCCAGGAGAGACTCTAACAATGCAATCAGTCTATAGGGAGACATAGGTGCACTTCAGATAGTTATTTAAATCCAGCAGTAATCTTTCAAGTAACAAATTACTTTCCAGATATGTGATATAAAGGAAATGAAACTGTTTCAAGTATTAGACAGGGGGTAGGCCTTGGAAGGTAAGCTCAGCATGTAAATGTCAGGAAAGAACAGCCTCCCTTATACAATGGCTGTTCTTTTGAGATTATTATTTGAAAGAGGTTTGACATCTGCTGTCATGATCATAACCAATATATATAAAAGAACAGGCTAAATCTCTTATTGAGCAACTTCAGTCTGTTTCCACACCATAATGATGAACAACATCCATCAAAAGGAGAATACCAAAAGTTTTGAAAATCGTAAAAACATAACAAGATATACCTGCCAAATGTTTGCCCAAACTTCACCGTTTATGTACTCCAATTCATTGAGGAAGCGTACATCATGACCATTGTATCTGACAATGTGTTTCCCTATGACTGCATTGAGGAACAGAATAATTTCAACAATATTGTAAACAGAGGTGTTCATGGGAAATCTAACTTAAAATCAGAGTAAAAACTATCACCGGATTTAAGGAGACAAAATAGTTACAGAAGAGAAGTTGAAGAAAAGAGAGGTTTTAATATTTTACACTTGACTGTTGAAGCTTGTACCTACCAGTTGAGATGAAGCACTGATAATTTTAGGAATTGACAATTTGAAAACAAGTGAAAAAATGAAAATCAAATTATCAGGTAGAAAGAAAATAGTAGGTACACGGTTGAAACCTTTCAATGTTTCAGGGTCAATCTGATAGAGTGTTGAAGTCCCATCACTTCCATACAAGATTTTTCCATCAGTTGCCAGTCCCCAACCATCTTTCATCTGATGAGTGAATGCATTGAACTACACAAAGTATAGTAGTAAAAAACCATTACTGATCTAAAGTTAAAACCATATGCTCTAATAATTTTATAACAGAATAATGATGGAATGCCAATAGTCTGGACTCAGTTAAATAGAATAGTTATTATAGTCCCTATTCAATATACCATGGGGATCTAGAAATCCCTAAACAAGTCTGAGGAATTTTGAGGAGTCATTACAAACACATATTTATACCATGCATCTGATCATATCAGTTAACTGCCCTGTACATATGTTGTTAAACAAGGAAATATGAACAAAAAAGTTAAAAGTTGAATAAGACAGGTGTTCAGCCCTGACATATATATATATATATATATATATATTTGTGGCCAGATTCAGCCTTGACATCAAGATAGAAGTAAATAGAAATACATCCAAATCCATCGGTAAAGCAAATCATAGAATTCTATGTGTTGGGATGCTCAAAGCAAGCTCTACTGAAATCATGAAAATATACAAGGGAAAACAGTGGAAGAACAAACTTTGTGCAAATTATTTCTTTCATATGTGAAACCGATTTTCTTCAACCAAGTCACTTGGAACAACCTACAAAAGAAAATAAACTATAACATTAGTATGTTTATCTTTCAGGGCCCACATTGCTTCACATCTGATATCAGAAAATGAAAAAACTGCATCAATAAATACCACAGGAATGAGAAAGAGAAACCAACACCAGATTGGGAGAACAGGTATCAATTGAAGGCCTATACAAGCATACTGTGTACCAAGAAATCAACTTTAATTACTTTAAATTTTCAGAAATATTCAACGTAAGTTTGCAAGTGTTGACATATGTTGCCGTACAATATTGTGGATTACAAGAATTAAACAGGACAAAAAATGACGAAGAGAATGAAGAGCTCTTTTTTGTGTCTGCACTAGAACCAAAATGCATATATTTCCCTTAACTAACCTTTCACCAAGGAGAGTTAAACCCTCCCCAAAATATGAACGACTCATTTTTTGAACATCCTCAACCTGTACATGCCAAAATAAAAGAAAAGAATAAATGAGAAGAATAAAGTTGGAAAATATGATTTTTGTAATTAATAACCAAAGTATAATGAACTGACTTGTTGAAACTAATCACACTGATATCTCAATCAATCATCAGTTAACAGAAACAAAGCCAATGAACCAACCAATCGGGCAAAATAGCTATTTAGTTGACTCAAATCAATTTCTCTACCTTTACTGCATCCATTAATAAATCTCCTTGTAAATAAGTTTACTTCCAATGTATTATGATTAAAAATTACATTAGATCAATCATACTCGTATGAGAGAATTTGAGTGATACTTGAATAAGCATAAAAAAAACTCATGTAAAATCCAAACAAGAGTGATTTATACCTTTCCGGTTTGAAGAGCTACTTTCCGGATTGATGACTGAAAGCAGAAGAGCAAAATAGCAAGTTAAGCAATGAAATACATAAAATTTACAAGGACAGAATGCAACACAATACAGCCTACTATTGAAACAGCAAATTTTTGTGACAGCAATTGCTATCATATACACCTATTACATTGTTATGAAATCTGAAAATGTCTCCAAACTTGCATCTCAAAACCCACATTGTAAAATATTCCCAAATAGATATGGAACAGATAGCATCAGTAATAAACAGGTTCAACTAAAGCAGCACTAGCATTTATACGGAAAATGATTGGGAAAGAACTCTTGCATACTAGGACCATTCACTCATTTAATAACATGAGGAAGTTATGAAGAGATGCTATGCAAAAAAAAATTGTCCGCATATCAGTGTTAGTACCCTATTTATACTGATCATTATACTGTACTACTTTGAAAGGGATGAAAGAGAAATAAAATAAAATAAAATAAAATAAAATAAAAAACAGAAACATTCAATGTAGCATTAACAGTCAGTCAAGTAAGGAGAGAAGGCAAACTCACACGCCCGTAAAGCCCAGTTGACTCAAAAAGGGTGTCATTTCCTGCATATAGAAGCCCCTGAAGGTAAACAATATATCCATCATTTAACAACCCCATATTGAAATTTATAATTTCAGAATAATTTTGAAATAAAAACAATTCCTATAGACCTAAAAATGCACTGAAAAAACAAGATTTTAAGTTTAACTGAAATTAGAGACAAGAACCAAATTGCTACTAATCCGAGTGAATTACAGACGGAATGTAAGGGAAGTTACCTCGGTGAAGGCGGCGGAATCATGAGGAAACTCATTGACTATTTGAAAGCCGTAAACTTTAGCCGAGCGATCGGCATATGCGAAGTTGCTCCACAAGCTCGACGGAACGCCGAAAAGGAAGACAATACAGAGAAACATAACGACTGGGACCAACACTGCGAGCTTTCTACGATCGAAGTGAGGAACCGGTGAAGATAGCGTTGGCATATTAGGCTTAAAGGTGGATCCTTTACAAATAGGATTCTAGACGATGATGAATTTGCCCATGAGCAGTGCTAGCTAGAAGCACCCACTCGCTCCTTGCACTCGACAATGGATACCCGAGATCTGCTGAAGCCACATCAGCCTTGCTTTTAGGTAAACAACCGGCAACTCACATGGTGGGGGGTATCTTAAAGTTGATAAAATTGCGTCTTTTTAAAGTTTTCGATCCAGATTAGTTTTGAATGGAGGTGAAGCTTTCTTTCAGATAAGGTAGAGTGATTCAAATTTCTTTTTTAGGTTTTTGATGTTGGTTGCAACCATTCCTTTTTGTCCATTATACCACCTTATATTATATGCCACTTAAATTTAATATTTTTTACTTTTAATTAAAAAAATTTTAATTAAAAAAATTATTACTGAATAAGTGGTTCGAATTATTCTATTTTAAATTAATTAAAATTTAATTACTGATCAATGAGATGTTAGTAAAATAAAAATAAAAAATATATTTTTCTTGAGTTTTGGCGAAGGAGCCAATGACAAGTGCAAGAGCGAGTGAACTCTTGCCCCAATTTTTTAATTTCCTTTAACCAATGGCAAGTGTAATGGTTTAATTGGGTAAAGGAAAGGCACTTCGGTCTTTAAGTCCAGTGACGTCATATTATGTATAAGGTTCAGTGACGTCATATTATGTATAAGTGCATTCCTTCACTCCAGGGCAATGATTTGAATTTGACCATTTACGAATTTGTTCAAAAAAAAAAAAATGGTTAAAGGAAGGGGAAAATGTTAAGTCCTCAAACTCATTCTATTTTTCAATTAAGTTTTTAAACTTTTATTAATGTAAATATATTCTTAAACTTAGCAATTTAAGTAATTTAACCATTTTATTTATGGCAAACTTAACACATGTTTATGCCTTACTCACGTGGATAAAATATTAATATGTCATTATTTATATGAAGAGTATTAACTTTGCTCAAGCGAACAAAACACAAACAAACATTAAATTTATTGTAAAAAAAAAAAAGATTAAATTGCTCAATTGTAAAATTTAGGAGTTTATTTATTTATTTATTTTTGAACAGGTTACCAATATGGGGGAGGGTGGATTCGAACCCCAACTCTCGAGTTGGGGGATACACCTTACAAACCGGCTTAAGACCGTTGGGCCATAAGGCCCATGTAATTTAGGAGTTTATTTACTTCAATAAAAATTTAAAAACTTAATTGAAAACATAGGGTTTTGCCTTTAAAGAACCTTCCCCATGGCTTCAGCATGTCTTAGGTGTTCGTCAACAAGTGCAAAAGTAGTGCTAAAGCAATGTTACTAGCATTATTCATTATTGCATTGGGAGATATTTGAGGGGTTTTTTTTTTTTTTTTGTATCTGCTACCAAAATGTTCTTAAGTTACTTTTTACACCATTTGAGACTAATTTTTCCCAAATGTATTTCCACATCAATTTGATACATTTAAAAAAATTAATTTTTTTTGAGTACTAACTCCAAAACTTAAATTGTTAATTTAGTTATAAGATGACACTTGCTTATGAATGTAGCAGGATTTTTAAATTTATGAAAGAAAAATTTATGTTGTCAGGTAAGTGTTTTTTAAGCTTTACCAAACACTTTCATTGAGGTGGTTAGTAAAACTTAAAAAGCACTTGTTTAAAAGCATTATTCTCTCTCACAAATTTAAAATTTTGTTGACTAAAAACACTTAAAATTAGCTTTTCAAGTAGGTTTTAAATAAGTTTTGTAAAAGCTACTTATCCAAGATAAATACAACAATATTAAATACTATAAGAAATCTTATTTAAGTGATGATTATTTAGGGAAGATTTATCAATAAATTATTACATTTTTACTTTATTGAATAAAAAAACTAAGTATACTAAATTAAACCAAATAAATATGATTGTAAGATTACAATACTACATCAACTTTTAAAGAAAAATTAAAACAAAGAAACTTCAACTAACTCAAGGTATTTTGATTACTTGTTTCAATCTAATTTAATTGTCTAATTTTATCTTTTTATTAAAATAATTAGGTTTTATTTTTTTTATTTTTACCCATACTTACACTCCCTTTGCCTAGAATAATAGATATTTTTTCATTTTATCTTTATATTAAATATTTGAGGACAAATTTTATTTTTACCTATTTTACCCTTAAAAAAATAAAAATAAAATACTATTTTATTAGATAATCATAATGTTAGAATAAGAAAAAAATATATATATCTGTTTTCTTTTAAATAGAAAAAAAACTAACTATTATTTTGGGACAAATTCTATATCAAAAAAAAATTTATTATTCTAGGACAGATGAAGTAGTAATTAAATGAAAAAATTCCTAATGTATTTCTATCTCTTTTAAGATAAGAGTAAAATTGAAATAAGTTAAATGCTAATATTGTTCCCTCAATTTTATTGAATTGCACTTTTTTGGTCCTTAAACTATTTTTTGCACTTTTTTTATCTCTTAACTCTAACAACTACACAATTTTGGTCTTCCGTCAATTTAAGCCGTTAATTCCATCCACGTGGCATTTTTTATATTTTTTTTATGACATAGATAACCCAATTGGGAAAAAACGATGACATGGATCATCCAACTAGAAAAAATGATGACATGGAGATAAATTTTTATATTTTTAATAAAAAAAAAAAAACAAAAACCTCTCGACCTATCTTCTTCCCCCTCTTTCTTTCTCCTCTTGCTACTACCTCCTCTGCTGACCGAACCCAGCCAAGCTAGGATCCACCAAACCTTCTCCCCCTTCTTTCTCTTCTTCCCCCTCTTGCTTTCTCAAAACCAAATCAAAACCTTGAAAATTCATACTACTTCAATCCAGCTTAATGATCATATACTCAAAAGAAAAATAGCCAAACCAAAACATACAAACAAAATTTTGTACTATTCATAATACTAAATTACCATCCCACAACCACAATATTTGAAACAAAAATCCACCAAACAAAAGAGTTCAATATAGGCATAGAAATTGCTAGAGTTACTAAACGAAAAAAATCTATAAATATGGGTTTGAAAACCTAGAAATTCAAGTTCCTTAAACCCATGTTGCTAGGTTCCACGGAACCCAAAACTGGGTTTGTTTAACCCAAATCGTTGGGTTTCGCGGAACTTGAATTTGGGTTCAAACGAACCCAAATTGCTAGGTTCCACGGAACCCAGTGTTCTGGGTTCAAATGAACCCAGTAGCCAGAGGAGGAAGAAAAAAAGAGGGGGAAGAAGGTTTGGTGGGTCACAGTAGGAGGAGGAAGAAAGAGAAAGCAAGAGGGGGGTCACAGTAGGAGGAGGAAGAAAGAGAAAGCAAGAGGGGGAAGAAGAGAAAGAGGGGGGAGGATCCTAGCTTGGCTAGGTTCGGTCAGTAGAGGAGGCAATAGCGGGAGGAGGAAGAAAGAGAAAGAAAGAGGGGGAAGAAACTAGGTGGAGAGGTTTTTTATTTTTTTATTAAAAATAGAAAGATTTATTTACGTGTGATTTTATTTATCCATATCATCATTTTTTCAAGTTGGACAATCCATGTCATCATTTTTTTCCAATTAGATTATACTTGTCAACAAAAAAATATAAAAAAATGCCACATAGACAGAGTTAACAACTTAAACTGACGGAAAGACCAAAATTGTGTAGTTATTAGAGTTAAGGGATCAAAAAAATACAAAAAATAATTTAAGGACCAAAAAAGTACAACTCAATAAAGTTGAGGGACCAAAATTAATATTTAACCATTGAAATACTAGCTTAAAGTTGGACAATTAAATTAGATTTATTAGTTGAAATATTTCGTTGTTTTACTTTAATGTTTTGGTATTTTAGTCTAATCGGATGAGGATATTACTTTCCTTACTTTTTCCTCCCCTCCACTTTGTATCCCTCAGACAAAACAAAGAGTAAGAGATTAGTTAACTAGTGAAGGCTTAGGCTTTGAAACAAAGAGTAAGAGATTAGTTAACTACTGAAGGCTTAGGCTTTGTTTAGGGAGTGTTTGATACAATAGTATAAACCTAGCAAATAGCAAAAATGTATAATTTGACAAATAAAAATCTTTAAAATATTTAACAACAGTAACTATCAATTATTGGATCAGATATAATCACTAGTTGCTAATTTTAAACTACTATATCAATGGTTTTTTTTTTTTTTCAGCTTTTAAAATTTTAAAAACCTTAAAATAAAATTAATAAGTTTGATAAATTAATTAAAATTTTGAATTTTGAGTATTAGTTTTAAAATTTTATACTTAATAGCTTGACTATTTTAATTTTAATTTTTATTTGTTAATTTAAATTATTTAAACTTTTTAAAAACTAATAAAATTTGAAATCATACTAATTGAAGCTTTAGGTTATGTTTGAGGTTGTGATCTCACAATGCTATTGCATACCACCCTATTAAAAGTGTTAATTTATTATAATAATATTAATTTTAATTAATGTTAAATTTATTAATCAAATTGATATATAACACTTCTTTTAAAAATAATTATCAAATTGATAAAATAAATTTTATAATAGTAAAATACTAAAAAATCATAGTCACAAAGCACTCCACAACACTTCTAAATGAGGACTTAGTTGACTAAAATCCTAAATTTTACCTTCATATCACTTCATGCACCTACCTTCCTAGAATTCTTCTTTCAAGGAGTGGGAAATCAAATAGAGAACAAGAAAAACTTGTGAAGTCTCAATGAAGAAAAGTTTTAGGTGAAAATGTAAAAAGAATTTTTATATTGAGAGTTTTTTTTTTTCCTTGATACATTGAAGAAATTAATTATTTAGTAGTACAATACCTTGAACTCTTAACATTGTCTTTAACTCCAAAATAAAAATTTTAAATTAGTGAGTGTCAAATGGAATATATTCTTGTTGGTATATTAAGAGTTATTATGAAGGGTAAAATTGAACAAAAATTTAAGGGTGCAAGTTGAATGGATACCCAACTTCAAGTTCAGTGAGAAAGCCTTAAAACCCAGGCGGGCGCGGCAAGGGCGGAATGTAGAAGTTTAAATGATATACACCAACGGTCGGCTGATTGGAACCTTCCAGACTTGTTTAATTAACCGAACATTCCGGGATTCCCATTTACATAAAAAGTCCAAAATTAAAAGAGATTGATATTTTACAATGGATGGTGATAAATGAGTAATTTTTTTATTATTTTTATATATTATTATTTTTTATTAACTATATAAAATTTATATAAAAAATTATCAACAAATTTAAATAATTTAGTGATTATTTTTTTATTAAAAATAAAAAATTTTGAATTAGATGTGAGATAATTATTTCTCATTGTGTAACTAAAATAAAAAAAATTATATAAAAAATTAATTATTTAAATAATACATACATAAAATTATAAAAAAATAATATAAAAAATTATACATAAATCATTTCTTTTTGACAATTCAGATATGTTGAAAAATTATAGTTGGTTTTATAAATTTATTAAAATAATTTTAATAAAATAATATAAAAAATAATTTTATTAAAAGTATGTTACAATTTTTAATATAAAAACACTTCTCTTTCAAGTGAAAATCCAGTTGAGATGAAATTTCCCCCCAAAAACGTGTTCGTTTCAAAGAATAATCCATCTTCCTCATAAATATTTCCGAATGGAAGCTACTAGATTCTCTCACTTTCGTATAAATACCTTCGAATCCGCTCTCTCTTCTCAGATTGATCTCACCGTATAGCCGAATATCAGAGACCTTTATCGCTTCCATCTTCGTTGCGGTTTTCTTTTTGCTTGTGTGATCGGTAATGGCGGATGTGCAGATGGCTGATGCAGAGACCTTCGCCTTTCAGGCGGAGATCAACCAGCTCCTCAGTTTGATCATCAATACCTTCTACAGCAACAAGGAGATCTTCCTTCGCGAGCTCATCAGCAACGCCTCTGATGTAAGTGGAATCGAATCCGTCTATCTTTGTTTTGATTCTCTTGAAAATTCTACTGGATAATCTTAGCGTTCGCTGTTCTTGCTCCTTTTTTAATTTCTTTTGGTTTAGTGAATAATCTGTACGAAATTCTCATTCTCACAAAAAACTGTTTAATATATGTTCTTTTTGACTTTGGAATCATGCTGTTAGAATCGTTTGTATAAGTCATGTCCATCGGATCAAAACCGAATAGTAGTTCCAATCGTATGATATTTACCAGAATCGGCTTTCTTTTTGGAGATTATTTTGATTACGCGAGTGAATATGTTTAATGTTGTGTTGTGTTCAAGATTATTGACTGTGCTGTTGGCACTGATATAGGATGGGGTGTGTGGTTTTGCGTAGTATGGGTTAGATTTTTGGGTGTTGAACCAGAGATTTGATGGTTTTTGATTGTGGTTGTTGGTGTAGGCATTGGACAAAGTCCGTTTTGAGAGCTTGACTGATAAGAGCAAGCTAGATGCTCAACCAGAACTCTTTATCAGGCTCGTTCCTGACAAGGTTAACAAGACTCTCTCCATCATTGACAGTGGAATTGGCATGACCAAAGCAGGTTTAGTCTAGTTTTGAAATTATTTTATATGTTTAATTGACCCAGTATGTGGTTGTAGATTGGTATAAAATTGTTGTGCCTTTGCTTACTTTGTTTTGCTTTTTCATTTTTCCATGCAGATTTGGTGAACAACTTGGGTACAATTGCAAGGTCTGGAACCAAGGAATTTATGGAGGCATTGCAAGCTGGAGCTGATGTGAGCATGATTGGTCAATTTGGTGTTGGTTTCTACTCTGCCTACCTTGTTGCCGACAAGGTTATTGTGACCACAAAGCACAATGACGATGAGCAGTACATTTGGGAATCTCAAGCTGGTGGTTCCTTCACTGTTACTAGGGATGTTGATGGAGAGCAGCTTGGCAGGGGTACAAAGATTACTCTTTTCCTCAAAGAGGATCAGGTAGTTAAATCAGTCTGATCATTTTGTTTTGTTAGATTATTAAGTCTTATGTTTTGATTTGTTGCTAATTACTGTGCTAAAGTTTCTTTATGCAGCTTGAGTACTTGGAAGAGAGGAGGATAAAGGACCTTGTGAAGAAGCACTCTGAGTTCATTAGCTACCCAATCTATCTGTGGACTGAGAAGACAACTGAGAAGGAGATCAGTGATGATGAAGATGACGAGCCGAAGAAAGATGAGGAAGGGGCTGTTGAGGAAGTTGATGAGGAGAAGGAAACAAAATCCAAGAAGAAGAAGATTAAGGAGGTGTCTCACGAGTGGCAACTCATTAACAAACAGAAGCCCATCTGGTTGCGCAAGCCAGAGGAGATCACCAAGGAGGAATATGCCTCATTTTACAAGAGTTTGACAAATGACTGGGAGGACCACCTTGCTGTCAAACACTTCTCTGTTGAGGGTCAGCTTGAGTTTAAGGCTATTCTCTTTGTCCCAAAGAGGGCTCCATTTGATCTGTTTGACACCAGGAAGAAGCTGAACAACATCAAGCTCTATGTCAGGAGAGTGTTCATCATGGATAATTGCGAAGAACTCATTCCTGAGTACCTTGGATTTGTCAAGGGCGTTGTTGATTCTGATGACTTGCCACTCAACATCTCTCGTGAAATGCTGCAGCAAAACAAGATTCTGAAGGTGATCAGGAAAAACCTTGTGAAGAAGTGTATTGAGATGTTCAATGAGATTGCTGAGAACAAGGAGGACTATAACAAATTTTACGAGGCTTTCTCAAAGAACTTGAAGTTGGGTATCCATGAAGACAGTCAGAACAGGGCTAAGTTGGCTGACCTGCTCCGCTACCACTCAACCAAGAGTGGTGATGAGATGACAAGCCTAAAGGACTATGTCACCAGGATGAAGGAGGGCCAGAAGGATATCTACTATATTACTGGTGAGAGCAAGAAGGCAGTGGAGAACTCACCCTTCCTGGAGCGATTGAAGAAGAAGGGCTATGAAGTCCTCTTCATGGTTGATGCAATTGATGAGTATGCAGTTGGGCAATTGAAGGAGTACGATGGTAAGAAGCTGGTAGCTGCTACTAAGGAGGGATTGAAACTTGATGATGAAAGTGAGGAAGAGAAGAAGAAAAAGGAGGAGAAGAAAAAGTCTTTTGAGAACCTCTGCAAGACAATTAAGGACATCCTGGGAGACAAGGTGGAGAAGGTGGTCGTCTCTGATAGGATTGTGGACTCTCCTTGTTGCTTGGTGACTGGAGAGTATGGGTGGACTGCCAACATGGAAAGGATCATGAGGGCTCAGGCATTGAGGGATAACAGCATGAGTTCTTACATGTCGAGCAAGAAGACTATGGAGATCAACCCTGACAATGGAATTATGGAAGAGTTGAGAAAAAGGGCCGAGGCTGACAAGAATGATAAATCCGTCAAGGATCTTGTGTTGTTGCTCTTTGAGACTGCTCTCTTGACCTCTGGTTTCAGTCTTGATGATCCAAACACATTTGCTGCCAGAATCCATAGGATGCTGAAATTGGGTCTGAGCATTGACGAGGATGAAGCTGCCGGCGAAGATACTGACATGCCTGCTCTGGAGGAGGACGGTGCTGAGGAGAGCAAGATGGAGGAGGTAGATTAAGCTGCAAAAATCTGGTCTTATTAATATAGGTGTGAATACTAAGGGTCTCCGTTGAACTTGGTAATTAGCAGTTACAGGAGTCTAGTTTAAGGGAGAATCCCCGTCTAGTGTCTACCTGTTCTGGTGTCTATTTTTGGACCGATGGTGTTCATGTGTCTTTGAGTTTTGCATTTTCTCAGATCTTAAGTACAATGTAATGTTGTACTTTCCCCTCTCTGTACTGTATTGATTCAGAAAATGTCGTCAGGTTTCGTAATTTCATTGGCTTGCCAATGTCATTTTTTTGGGCCCAATGTCATTTTTTTGGGCCCTCTCCCCTAAATTTTTCTGAACAGGTTTCGTAAGCTTAACAGAGGCTCGCTTATCTATTCCCACGCCCTGCGCTTGTGGTTGAGACCCTCCGTTAATTTAAGATGTTCAAATTTTATGGACGAACATTTTCTTTTCTCCTTGTTAAAAATAAATAAATAAATAAACACAGACTCGACTTCCAAATTCCAATGAAGCATGATTCACAGTAAGATATTCCCCCTCCAACACAATATGTGAACAAGATGAATGAAGTGCTACAAGAATAATATTTTTATATAAATTTTTTATATAATTTTTATATATTATTAAATAAATAAATATATTATCAACGAGGGTTGGATTAAGTTGTAAGCGACTTGTTCTAGTTTAAACAAAATCTCGAGTTTGAGGCCTTCTGTACGCAGCAGTCCCTGTTGAAAGATTTATCCACCATTTTCAAATGCAGGACGCGAGTCGGATTTGAATTAGTCGGGGCGAAACCCCGGATACCGGGCGAGAAACCAAAAATAAATAAATAAATAAATTTAATATTATAAATTTTAAATAAATAAAAAAATTAATTAAAATGAACATTGCAATTTCATTAAGCAGTGTTGGATGCTGAAGGCAGACGAGTCACCTACATGCCGGACTGCTATTAATTTGAATGTTCGATTCTCCTTACGAATCTATCGGCTACCTTAAGTGACTATTAGCAACAGGAGGGTTTTAAATTTAAAAGCCGTTGTTGAAGAATAACTGAGGTATTTGAAATCTATTCAAACGTCTTTATCATTGGAAGCTACAATATCAACTGGCTCCCAACAATCAATCCAAACGCTCCTTTAATCAGCTTTTCTTCCTCTAAAGCCACTTCCTGTTTTACCAGAAGCAGTTCTTGGTCCCTGCAATATAAGGTACTTCTAACTTGTGTCCTTAATAACCCGTGTGCTTAAAACACAGGTTATTAACATCTTCTTAGTATTAATTATCATTAAAAAAATAAAATTTAACATTTATTTAATTAACCATCCAATTAAAATAATACATATAACATTAATGATAAAATTAAAATTAATGCCAAACCCCCTATTTGCACCCTCCATTTATTTTTTTTTCGCGATCAACACCTTCCAGAATTTTTCCTCCCTATTCACACCCTCAATTTTTTAAAACTCGTAAAAAACCCAACATGTTAACGCGCCGTCATGGTACCATTACAAAATGCACTACGTGGCATCCAAAAAATTGACGTGGCCACTCTGTGCCGTTAGTAATCCAATGTGGATGCCTTTTCTTGATGATATGGCTTGACATGACATAATTTTTATGTGAAAATTTCCTAACAAAAAAATAAAAAAAAATAAAAAAAAGAACAGGAGCTCTAGTTCCTTGTGAGGAACCCAGAGGAACCCATGAGGAACCTAGAGTTGGGTTCCTTTGGAGGAACCCAGCTTAGGTTCCTCATGGGTTCCTCGTCGTGAGGAACCCAGAGGTCCATTTTTTTTTTTTTTGGGGAATTTTCACATAAAAATTATGCTATGAGCCACATCATCAAGAAAAAGCATCCACATTGGATTATTAACGGTACAAAGTGGCCACGTCATATTTTGTAACGATACCGTGACGACGCGTTAAAATATTGAGTTTTTTACGGATTTTGAAAAATTGAGCGTGTGAATAGGGAGAAAAAATTCTGGAAGGTGTTGAACGTGAAGAAAAAATAAATGGAAAGTGCAAATAGGGCATTTTGCCTAAAATTAAACCAACGATTTATTGATAGAAGTAAAAAAAACTCAATTCCCTTTAAACAATGTTTTAAACTCGAGTCTTATGAATGAAAAATAAACGCTAGGAGAACTTCCCCCTATTAGGGTTTAACGCCACTCGATTCTGGATTAATCAAAATCTAATGTGATTATCGGATACCAAGAGATTAATACCAAAATATATATATACATATTAATCATACCCTTAACTTGTACTCTAAGAGCAAGTTAAATAAATCCTTATTAATAATTAGATAAACAACAAGTGAGAAGTGAAGATAGAGGACGATTAAGCTTCCTCTAAACCATCTTAACAACTCATCATTTTTTTTGTTTGATTAGTTAAACATTGTTGTTATAGCTCCTCTTACATATCATCCAAGGAAGATAAACATGTGCTTCAATTAAAAAATAATAATAAATAAAAATAAATAAATAAATAAGGGAGAGAGAGAGAGTTAAGAGATAGTTCACTGTTGCAACATAGATAAACATGTGCTTCAATAAAAAAAAATAATAATAAATAAAAATAAATAAATAAATAAGGGAGAGAGAGAGAGTTAAGAGATAGTTCACTGTTGCAACATAGAAAT